TATGATAACTTTTTATTTATATCACACATTAAAGGGAATTTTATATATGTACACAACAATCTCTGGGCTTGCTGCATCACAAAAAAATTTAATTTGAACAATTTATAAAAAAATTAATTACTTTCTGGCCATTGGATATTAGGCATGGAGGTATATATATTGCGATCGTGATTTTCAAAAGTATAACGCTTTGTTAACGTTTATTATTACCATTTCATGAGTCTTCCCATACTGAGAGTGCTTGGACCTGGAAGTCGCTTCGTGAGACGTCACACTTAACAAGCGGACTGTGTTTATTGTTTACTGAAAAAGGGAAATTTCGTTTTAGACACAGGATTGCTGACTTGCCGCAGCCATGGCGATAATTTTAAATATTTGACTGTAGTCCTACATACAAAACTTTTTTATTAATAATTTGTTCAATAATTCATTAAAGTTAAAACGAATACACTCTCAGCATACACTTTCAAATCATTGAGCCAACATGTCGCCCAAAATGCACCCCAGATTTGTATTTTTTTTTTTAACACAATGTGCACAAAGTGTATTCAAAACCATGTTCTTCCCCACATGACACATTTAGTTTTATTTATTAAACATGGGGGGCCAAAAGTTTCATCGTTTACGTGTTTAATTCTATTCATGCCTGATATCAGACAGGAAGTAAGGCTCCTATGACTTCCTGAGGAGGTGGCTGCAGTGCCCTCGGCTGCCCAGCAGTCAGGCTAATCCAAAGCAAACAGTTGACAAAGCATTTCATCCACAATGTGAGAAGGGGTGAGCTGAACCTGTGATTTTAGCACACTCAGCCAAAACTAACACACTAACAAAGGGCCAACAAAGAGCAAGATAACAACCTAGTCAAAACATCCTAGTTACTGGTAAAGGGTTGTAACCTTTAAAACGATTTTTATGTTTGACAACAAAGCATAAATCTAATATTTGACTTATTATATATATATAAAAGAATATAAATATAATATAATTATATTATTATAAATTATAATATATATTATTATAAATATAATATAATATAAAATATTCGACCTATTATGTTTATTTAATTTTCAAAACTACAGCACACAATTTATAGTTTGTCAAATAATCACAAACTTCCATACTATTTTTTTTTGTGTGTGTATCCAGAGCTACAATATCTTGCTTCCATTTTGTATTTTGATTGTTTTCCTAATTTTTATGTATTTCAAAACTTATTTATAATACATTTACATAATTTTAATAATAAATGTATATAATGATTATGGCAGAAATATAATAATAATAATAATAATAATAATAATAATAATAATAATAATAATAATCCTTACAATAACAATAGGGCTTCAGTGCTCGAACCCCTCATAATAATGATAACAACAACAACAACAACTATTACTATTATTATTATTGTTGCTGTTGTCGTTATTATTGTTGTTGCTGTTGTTAAGAGTTTTTGAATCCCTTTTATATTATTTAATAAAATGACTACTATTTAATGCAAAGACCTCATGAACATTTAATAATTTAAAAGACCTCTGGATTCACAAACATTTAGTAAATCTCAAATTAGTATATATATATATATATATATATATATATATATATATATATATATATATATATATATATATATATATATATATATATATATATATATATATATATATATATATATATATATTCATATATATTCATATATTCACTGGCCACTTTATTAGATAAACCTGTCTAACTGCTCGTTAACGCGAATGTCTAATCAGCCAATAACATGACAGCAACTCAATGCATGTATGCATGTGGACATGGTCAACACGATCTGCTGCAGTTCAAACCGAGCATCAGAATGGGGAAGAGAGATGAAGTGACTTTGAACGTGGAATGATTGTTGATGCCTGACGGGCTGGTCTGAGCAATTCAGAAACTGCTGATCTACTGGGATTTTCATGCACAACCATCTCTAGGGTTTACAGAAAATGGTCCTAAAAAAATAAAACAGAAACAAAAAATATCCAGCGAGCGGCAGATCCTTGAGCGCAATTGAGAATGACCAGACCGATTTAAGCTGATAGAAAGGCAACAGTAACTCGAATATTCACTTATTACAAGGGAGAAATGCAGAAGAGCATCTCTGAACGCATAACATGTCCAACCTTGTGGCAGATGGGCTACAGCAACAGAAGACCACACCGAGTGCCACTCCTGTCAGCTAAGAACAGGAAACTGAGGCCACAATTCGCACAGGCTCACCAACATTGGACACTAGAAGACTGGAAAAATGTTGCCTGGTCTGATGAGTCTCGATTTCTGCTGTGACATTCGCATAGTACAGTCAGAATTTGGCATCAACAGCATGAAAGCATGGATCCATCCTGCATACAGGTTAAGGCTGGTGGTGATAGTGTAATGGTGTGGGGGGCATTTTCTTGGCACACTTTGGACCCATTAGTACAAATGGAGCGTCGTGTCAACGCCACAGCCAACCTAAATATTGATGCTGACCATGTTCATCTCTTTATGACCACAGTGTACCCATCTTTTGATGGCTACTTCCAGCAGGATAACACACCATGTCATAAAAGCACAAATCATCTCAGACTTTTTTCTTGAACATGACAACGAGTTCCCTGTACTCAAATGGCCTCCACAGTCACCAGATCTCAACCCAATACAGCATCTATGCCATCAAGGATTAAGGTAGTTCTGAAGGCATAAGCAGGTCCAACTTGGTACTAGTTAGGTGTACCCAATATATTATGTTTATGTGCATTTTCAAACTCTCTTCTCAAGTTTGGTTCCATTATTTGCATAGAACAAACACAAAAACAGATGCTATATTCCAAACAAAAATGATCAAAACTAATATGTAGAGTTAATATGCTGCTGCAAATAATAATAATAATAATAATAATAATAATAATAATGTCATTAATCAATTTAATTGAAATTCACTTTAATTTAAGTATGTTTTAAAATGTATGTATTAATGTTATTAAAACTCAACCATCAGGTAGCCTAAAATAATCAAAAACTAATGGATAAGAACGCACAAAGCCTGAAATTAACTGAGCTGAACAATGACACTTCTGACTACTTCTGTGGAGCAGCTGAAATGTATTTCGTAACAGATCAATTTTGCAACATCACGTTGTCACTGAAGTGAATCAATGTAACTGACTGAGCCAAATAATAACTTTTGGTCTTCTGTAGACCTACTTTCAAAACTGATACAGTTTGACACAGTTATTTTCTTACATTTTTTTCTGACTCCATTTCATTGAAATTAAATCATGTTTTACTTATGCAGACATATATGTTAAGGCATTTTTGTTAATGTTTCAGGGCCCAATAAAGTGTATAAAAGTACGAAGTTTTCGACAAATCTGTACTGAAATGTCAAAAATGTCTATTTCATTTGAGTGCTATTAAGCAGGTTCTTATTAGTAAATTCTACATTAGTAAATGTTGTACATTTTTATTCATTTTTAGTTTATCTAAGTCAATTTATTAAGTAACATTAACTACAGTAATTGTAAAGTGTGTCCCACTATTCTTAATGAGTTAAAATGGGAACACACTGTATTGGCCATTTGCATGCAGAGGTCACGCTGCACGTAGACACTTCTGATTGGCTGAACAGCAGTTCTGTTTAGATATGGATGGGCAGATGGCAGATGAGATCATAGAGATGGAAAATCTGTGATTGATGCCATGCAGTTTTTTTTTTCTGGTGAAACTCTGTGCCTTTGAAACCTACTTGGGGTGATTAACAAGTCTGCAGTGGTCACATATATAAATCACACACACAAGGATGATGTCCTAGTCACTATTCTCCAGTGGCATTACATACTCTCCAAATATACTGAAAATAAAATAAAATATTAATTTAAAAATTAAATAAAATAAATGTAATAATTAAATTAAATATATAAAATAAAATTAAATAAAAAAATAACTTAATATTAATTAAATGAAATTAAAATACATTTAAAATAAAGTTTTATTCAAAAAATTTAAACCAATAAAAAAAAAATTGAATAAAATATATAGAATAAAATAAAATAATAATAAATAATAATAAAATAAAAAATAATAAACTATAAGCAAATAAAATAAAATACATAAATAATAATAAAATGTAATTAAATTTTTAATAAATTAAATTAAACTTTCAAAACAATAAAGTAATTAAGTAAAATAAAATAATAAAATAAAATAATAAAATAAAAATAAAAGTAAAATATTGTTTAATAATTTAATACATTTTTAATTATAAATAAAAAATACATATAGAATCAAAAAAATACATAACAATAAAAGAAACTATAATAAAAATGTATTAACTTTAAAATAAAATAAAGAATTAAAAGATAAATAAAGTAATAATAAAATATATATATATATATATATATATATATATATATATATATATATATATATATATATATATATATATATAAATATTTTTTTTGATTATATAAACAAAAAATACAAATAAATTAAAATAAAAAATATTACAAATTAAAATAAAATAAATTAAATTAAATTAAAATATATAGAGTGATCATCCTCTTTGTGATCTATTTCTAACAAGAGGAAAAACTAGTTGGCTACATAAAAAAACAAAGAAATCAGACACTATACAAAACAAGGACAAAATGCTACACTTATTCCACACTGATGTAGAACTTTATGGTTTATTTGCAATACAATTAGAAGTGTCGTATTTGTACTTTTCTATTTCATTAATTTGCTTTTATTTGGGTTTATTTTGTATTGATGCATGGGTGTAATTTCTGTAATAATGCAATCTTGGTATTGCTATGCTGGAAATAAATAAACCTGAAACCGTCATACGACAACAGAAAACTCATTCTTGCGTGGATAAGCGAGTCAGGGCACGTGCACAAACGCACATCATTCTAATGATGTAACACGCATCACTGTTCTAACGCCTCAGGTGCTGACAGATATTACTGCTAGACCACTGGATACAGTCTTACCATGCAGTTCATCGCAAAGTGGTTGTGTTGTGTCTGCAGCTCCATCACGTGCTGATGGTTGGCTCCTATCTCGGTGTAGGTGGTCAGGAACAGGCCTTTATTGTGGACAATCCAATCGAACATCTGTTGAGAAGGAAAAAAACTGAACTGAAATGGGAGACGTGGATTTAAATATGCTGGTATTAATCTGTGCACAAGCACACATTATAAATTGTTTATTATAGCCGATTAAATGGCTAAAAAAACATTCTACTGACAAATGAGTGAAATCTAGTGTAATCTTAATTTCAGTACCGAACTCGATACTTTTGACAATTGTTTGACTGTAGTGGATGTTCTCACCTTCTCTGCGTCCTGCTGAAAGAGTCGCAGCTGAAAGCACTGGTCCAGTTTGAGTTTGCGCAAGTGCCAGGCTTGGTGCAGATGCTGGCGAGTGCCGTGAAGTTTATCCAGGAGCGCCTGGACTTTTGGAGCTAAACCCTGGATATCCCCTCTTCCTTTATCCGCACACTGGATTCGCTGCAGTAGGTGCTGACCTTCAGTATCTAACTCCTCCACAGGGGCTTTAGTCACCTTTTTCTTGAGGGAAGCGTGTTCCTCCATGGCACGCCGAGACCCATCGAGGTCGGACGGCAGCTCCCGCTGGGACAGCATGTCTTGGAGTTCTTCTAAACGGGCTAGTATGCGAGCTGCATTGCTTGTGAAGTCTTCGAAGGCCACTCGAACTTCGATCCACTCCTCATGGTCGTAATCAAGACTGCCTTCGAAGTCTGGAGTCAGCTGGGATGGATCCACCACTTTGGTCAAACCCTCGAGGGACACCATGATGGTCTGAAAGGATAAGAAAAAAGGAGATTTGGATCATATTTTGAATGTATGGGATAGAATACACAGGCTATATATTGTTATTAGCACAGCAATATGATACCATTAAATCCTCTTCTATAAAGCAATGAAAATGAGATGTTCAAAGAAAAGAACCAATAACATTCTCAAAACATTCCATGTGATATATGTACACAATTGAAACCAGAAATTAACATACACTCAGAAAAAAAAGGAATATAACCATTTTTTTTAAATGTCTGATGGTAAATCATACAAAACGTTTACTATGTTAGGTCCGTTAGGATTACCTAAATAATTTACATTTGCTAAATGCCAGAATTATGAGAGAATATTTTTGGGGGGAATTTTTTATTAATTTCTTGACAGTAAAAATTTAACATACATTTCCTTGGTATTTCTTTAGCTTTGCTTTTAAACTGTATAACTTTGGTCAAATGTTTTGGGTATCCTTCCACAAGCTTCTCACAATAGTTTGAAGGAATTTTGGCCCATTCCTCCTGACAGAATTGGTGTAACTGTGTCAGATTTGTCGACTGTCTTGCTCGCACAAACTTTTTCAACTCTACCCACAAATCTTCTATAGGATTGAGATCAGGGCTTTGTGATGGCCACTCCAAAATATTCACTCCGTTGTCCTTAAAGCACAATTTTAACTAATTTAGCAGTATGCTTAGGAACATGGTCTCTTTGAAAGACCAATTTGTGGCCAAGTTTTAATTTCCTGGCTGATGTCTTCAGTTGTTGTTTCAGTTTTCTACATAATGTTCTTTCTACATGATGCCATCTATGCTGTGAAGTGGACCAGTCCCTCCTTCAGCATTTGTCCTATAAATGTAACACTGGTCATTATGGCCAAACAGTTTAATCTTACTTCCATCAGACCACAGGACGTGTCTCCAAAAATTATTATTTTTCCCAGTGTAATTTAGCAAATTGTAATCTAGCTTTTTTTGTTGATTCTGGCTTGGTTGATTTTCCCATGTTGTAACACAAGTAAGCAGTGTGTTTGAGGTTTTCCCTAAATACTATTCTACAGTTGTGCATCCAATTAACTCAAATGTTGTTAATTAGCCAATCAGAAACTTCCAAAACCTTGACACCATCATCTGAGCTTTTTCAGATGCATAATAATCTTATTGTATGTAAACTTGACTTAAAAGAAAAGTTATAACAATTTCTCAAAAAATATCCCTCTCATTATTCTGCTATAAAGAGTAACAGAAACAAATTTGATATTCCTAACTTACCTAAAAGACAAAAAGTTTAGTCAAAACTTTAGTTTAGTGCCTTTTTATACAGTTTATGTTAACTTCTGGTTTTAACTAATATATATATATATATATATATATATATATATATATATATATATATAAAACCAGAAGTTAACATACACTGTATAAAAAGGCACTATCAATATATATATCAAATTTGTTTTTCAGGATGCATTATATATATATATATATATATATATTGCATCCTGTAATGAAAATCAATCTCTCAAAAAATGGTCGCCAAGCTTGTAATTAAATTTAATATTAGGAATGATCAATCAAATAAACAACAACTGTCTTTAGCTTCAATTCTAAACATTCTAATCACACAAAATCTGCAAAAACTCACAGCTGGTCTGAGCCCCTCCTCGGGAGATTGTGAGGAGGGCCTAAGGAGCGCCTCCTCTGCTAGAAGGCGGGGCTTCATTTGCCATGTTGATCGTTACACTTTTCCCCATTAAAAACTATACCAGTGACATTTCTTGTGTATTCTATATTCTTTGGTATGGTTTAAAATCATTACATGATTTACTAAAAATTGCTATATTTTTGAGTTTGGTTGATGACTGAAGCAGCAGTTGCCATTTAAAATTAAAGACTCTTTAGAATACGATAAATACTGGATCGGTTACACTGCACGGTTCACTTAAAGAAGCCAGAAAAAACATTCCAGGAATTGCAGCTCAGGTCATGTTATTACAGACAACATCAGGCATATGAGGGGATAGGGGACACCTGACAGTCCATGATGGACTGATATCAGATCCCCAAAACAATTAGGTCTTCACTACATTGTTGCAATTAAAAGTATTTTAGGGTTTATATGTAAACAAATTCATACCTGGAGTCCATTTGAAAACACTTTCTATGATTTGATTACATATAAATCACAGAGTAATAACACTTTGCAATCCAGTGCTGCACTGGATGTGTTAATTTAAGAAGCCTCCGCAGGGAGATTAAGCCTTCAGATTAAATATAACACACACTGCACACGTCTTTCTCTCAGCTGTTTGAAGAAATAGGTCAGATGTAATTGACAGCTCCACTTTCACACCAGCAATATATGAAATGCTCTAGTAAAACATGAGAAGACTGTGCTAGTTCTTTCTTTCTCTAGAAGGTGTTGTAATATCACATAATAGATTTAAGGATTAATAATAAAAATATAAGGAGAACACTTTATTTGAAGGGGTTGTTCATAAGACCTTTATAATTGTGAATATGCATGCTTATGACAACTGTTGTTAAGTTTCATACACAGTAATGACATTTAGAATGCAAAGGTGACATTGTTTAAGATATCTTTATGACAACTTGACATAAAAAAATACAACCTAACCTGTCTTTGTTTTTGTCATGACAATATGATATTGCAGTATACAATGTAACAAAGCAACATAACTTTTTCATAAACATGATTGGCATGAGGTCATAATAAATGAGTCATGACTTATTTCTGATCACTTTTGTCATTATAATGTCTTAGTAAATGTGTCAATACCTTGTCAAATAATTTTATAACAGCGTCAAACGACATGTGATGAAAGTCTAACGACAAAATTATTTTGACCATAAAAGAATGAAAGACTGTTATAAAATTAATGTAACAACTATAATGGCCTCATCCCATTTATGTTTATGACAGATTTATGACGAGTTATGTTGTCTTGGTAATGCCGTTTTGTCATGACAAAGACACTGACAGGTTTGCTTGTCTTGGTAATGTCAAGTTGTCATAACAAAGATAAAAACATGTTATGAAGTATTCATTTATGTCAAGTTGTCATGACAAAGATAAAGACATGTTGTGGTGCATTTGTTTGTCTGTAATAACGAAGACATGTTATGGTGCATTCGTTTATGTCTGACAAAGATAAAGACATGTTATAATGCATTTTTTGTCTGTTTGTCAAAGATAAAGACATGTTATGATGTCTTTGTCATGACAACTTGACAAACAAATACATCATAACATGTCTTTATCTTTGTTATGACAAGCAAATTCATAATAACATGTCTTTGTCTTGACAACTTGACAAACAAATACATGTTATGATGCATTCGTTTATGTCAAGTTGTCATGACAAAGATAAAGAAATGTTATGATGTATTTGTTAATGTCAAGTTGTGACAACAAAGACATTTTATGATGTATTTGTGAAGTTGTCATAACAAAGACATGTCTTTGGTCATGTATTTATTAGTTAAGTTGTCATTGATGTCAAGTTGTCAATGATTTGTTTATGTCTATTTGTCATAACAAAGATAAAGAGATGATATGTTGTATTTGATTTTGTCAAGTTGTGATGACAAAGACATGTTATGATGCATCTGTTTATGTGAAGTTTTCATGACAAAGACATATGAGGCAATTGTTTGTCAAGCTTACATGACAATGACAATGACATGTTAAGATGCATTTGTGTTTATTTGTCATGACAAAGATAAAGACATGTTATGATGCATCTGTTTAAGTCAAGTTGTCATGACAATGACAAAAACATGTTATGATACATTTGTGAGTCAAGTTGTCATAAAACCAAACACGTTATGATGCATTTTTACATTTAAGTTTTTAAGACAATGACAAAAACATGTTATGATGTGTGTGTTCATGTCAAGTTGTGATGACAAACATTTCATTATGTTTTTTGCCAAGTTGTCATGAGACAAAGACATTATGATGTATTTGTTTGTAAAAGACATGTTATGATTTATTTGTCATGACAAAAACAAAGACATGTTATGATGCATTTGCTCATTTAAGTTGTCATGACAAAGACAGACATGTTATGATGCAGTTGTGATGACAAACATTTTATTATGTTTTTTGCCAAGTTGTCATGAGACAAAGACATATTATGACGTACTTGTTTGTCTATTTGTCATTATAAATATTAAGACATGTTATGATGCATTTGTTTATGTTTATTTGTCATAATAAATATATAGACATGTTATGATGCATTTGTTTGTCTATTTATCATAACAAAGATAAAGACATGTTATGATGCATTCGTTTATGTCAAGTTGTCATGACAAAGACATGTTATGGTAAGTTTGTTAGTCAAGTTGTCATAAAACCAACACCCGTTATGATGCATTTGTTCATTCAAGTTTTTAGGACAATGACAAAGACATGTTATAAAGCATTTGTTTGTCAAGTTGTCATGAAAAGACAAAGACATGCAATGTATGTCAAGTTGTAATGACTGACATTTTATGTATTTATTAGTCAAATTGTTATGAGACAAAGATATGTTATGATGCATTTGTTTATGTCAAGGTGTCATGGAAAACATCTCTGCATCTAAAGTGACATAACTGAGTGAATGACATTTAATCACTTAAACATGCCTAAAATGTCATGATTATAAATGTTTTGTGACAGTCCTATGAATATCCTATTCAAGTAAAGTGTTACCGAAAGTAATATATCAAATTTATATCAAAACAAATAAACAAAGTTCCCAAATAAAGCAAATTCCCAAATTTAAAGAAAGCGCTCACCTCAAATTCAAACTTTGAACTGCCAAAATTGGTCCTCTGCTTCTGCCAGAAGTTGTCAGGCTTGATGATGAGAGCGACGTGGATGCAGGAAGGAAAGGACTCCTGCAGGATCTTCAGCAGAGGTTTGATAGAATCCCATTTGGATCCTCGCATATCCACGATGACCGTGAAGCCATGCCTGCTCACCTCCTCGCTACACAGACAAACAAAATAAAACACAGAATCAGCTCCTCTGCAAAATTGCTGACGCTCAACGAAATTAGGAGGTAAATGAGAGCTGCTGTTTTAAGAGATCTCTACAAATCCCTCAGCAAATCAGATAGAACGACATTTACCCAAATGTTCGGATCCTGCTTGAGAGAAAACTGCTATATTATCAACATAAATGAAAAGAGATGCTGGCTAATAAGATCTCTAGCTTGAATAACAGCCTGTTAAGTAAAGGGTGTTTTCATATCCACAGCTGCACTCCTCTGGTCTGACTCTCCACTGAGCAAAACTCTAAATCACTGACCTCCCTCTCTGAGTGAGTGAGCGAATGAGAGAGAGAGAGAGAGAGAGAGAGAGAGAGAAAGGCTGAATCCTCACCAAAGCTCTCTGTGTTCATATATTGTATTATTATTACTTTCACCTTTTTACTTTTTATTTATAAACTATTTATTATTTTTAATAAAATAACTTTTCCATTTTAATAACATATATATTATGAATATATTATCTTTATATACAGTGCATCTGGAAAATATTGATAGCGCTTATCTTTTTCCATTTTTTTATGTTACAGCCTTATTTAAAAATGTATTAAATTTATTTATTTCGCTGGAGCTCAGACAGAATGACCATTAGGTTGCTTTCACATCTGTAGTTCGCTTCATTTGGTCCGGACCAAGCGCAATAAATGATACATTGTTGCATGTTTTGCCGTCTTTGGGTCGTTTTTACACCACACTGCTGGCTTTGGTCCGAACCAGTTGAAACGAACCAAAATGCAGTCATCTGACAAAATCCACATCTCTCATTGGCCAGATGTTGTTAAACATATTTCCTAAACTGCTTATTACTAAACATCTGTTTAGCTGTGCCTTTACTGAATGAGCACTGTGCTGCGTCCGACAGATCGCACTATTATGTTTTTCGTTTTCTTTTTCATTCTTTTATAACCTATTTTAACTCATTTTAATTTGTTTTTATCTGTTTTTAATAATTTTTATTGTCTGCATTTTATGTTGCTAAACTTGTCTTTTTTATTCCTGTTTATGAAAGCACTTTGAATTGCCACTGTGTATGAAATGTGCTATATAAATAAACTTGCCTTGCCTTACTGATTGGTCAGAATTCACGTGCGGGAAAATGCCAGTGAACTCCCGCAGGTAAACAAAACCTTTAACTCTGAAGGGACGACTGCGCTGGCTGATTGTATCCCTGCTTTAGACGAACTATACATTACGAAAATGAAGCACGGCCGCGGCTGGAAAGCAGTGTTTAATGCATCACTCGTCACTTCAGGAGGAGCCGTGAATTAATTTAGCTAAACTGCGACATGGTCATCTTGCGGAAATATTACCAACGATTCATCAGGTAATGTTTTCCCCTCTCTCTCTGTTGGTAAAGCACTGTCAACAAATATTTTTTCTCCATATCCAATAATGCACAGCGCAATGGCCTACGGCAGCTGGATTAGTCCAAAACGCGCAGTACTTTTTGCGGTTGGACCTGTTTTAGTACGAATCTCATTCTCACCACAAACGAACCGTTCCAGGGTTCGTTTGAAAGCGTACCAAGACCACCTCTTCAAGCAGGTCTCTGTATACTTATTTGGTCCAATTTTGGTGCGCACTCGAGTACGATTGCTGCATTCTCACCTGCCCAAAAGAACCGTACCAAAAGGGGAAGCGAACTCTAGTGCGATTCAATTGAACTAAATAAGGCAGGTGTGAAAGCACCCTTAGATTATTGATCACCTCCCTGACTGAGGCCCTTCTCCCCTGATCACTCAGCTTAGATGGCCGGCCAGCTCTTGGAAGAGTCCTGGTGGTTCCAAACATCTTCCACTTACGGAGGATGGAGGCCACTGTGCTCATTGGAACTTTGGCAGCAGAAATTGTTCTGTAACCTTCCCCAGCCTTGTGCCTCGAGACAATCCTGTCTCGGAGGTCTACAGACAATTCTTTTGTCTTTATGCTTGGTTTTTGCTTTGACATGCACTGTCAACCCTGGGACCTTATATAGACAGGTGTATGCCTATATCATGTCCAATCGGCTGAATTTATCACAGATGAACTCCAATTAAGCTGCTGAAACATCAAGATTGATCAGTGGAAACAGAATGTACCTGAGCTCAATTTAGAGCTTCACAGCAAAGGCTGTGAAAACTTATGTACATGTGATTTTTCAGGTGTTTTATTTTAATACATTACAACAATTAAAAAAAAATATTTTTTTTCACATTTTCATTATGGGGTATTGTGTGTGGAATTTTGAGGAAATAAATTAATTTAATCCATTTTGGAATAAGGCTGCTAGAAAAAAAAAAGCGCTATCAATACTTTCAGGATCCACTGTAGTTACTAATATACAGTTAATGTCCTAATAATAGGCAGGTAATAATAAACCAGTAGTTAATAGTTTGAATGGTTACTTAAACTAAATTGTTAACAGTGAAAGAATGATGAAGAGAGAATACCTTAAAGAAGTGAAGGAATGAAAAAGGAAAGAAATTGAAGTTAGATGGAGGACAACCAGTGCAGTCTAAAATCTGCGGGTTCAGGTTAATCAAACTCTACATTCCAGACTATCTGATACACACCATCAGGGGTGTAGCCCAGATTCATGGGCCCAATGCACAGTGTAAGGGGGCCCTTTCCCATTACTCAAGATCCATGCTAGTCACCACGTGTTTATTTTAATTATATTTGACTTACTGTAGTAACTGCTGGCAAATCACTGTTTGTGCTATATTTGCGATATATAGTTACCGGCCACTTTATTAGGTAAACATTACTAGTACCTGGTTGGACCCTCTTTTGCCTTCAGAACTGCCTTAATCCTTTGTGACAGAGATTCAACAAGGTACTGGAACTTTCCTCAGAGATTTTGCTCCAAATTGGCATGATAGCATCAGGCAGTTGCTGCAGATTAGTCGGCTGCACATCCATGATGCAAATCTCCCATTCCACCACATCCCAAAGATACTCTATTGGATTGAGATCTGGTGACTGCGGAGGTCGTTTGAGTACACTGAACTCATTGTCATGTTCGAGAAACCAGTCTGAGATGATTAACGTTTTATGACATGGCACGTTATCCTGCTGAGTAGCCATCAGAAGACAGGTATAATGTGGTCATAAAGAGATGGACATGGTCAGCAACAATACTCAGGTAGACTGTTGCGTTGACTCGATGCTCAATTAGTACTAATGGGTCCAAAGTGTGCCAAGAAAATATCCCCCACACCATTACACCACCACCACTAGCCTGAACTGTTGATACAAGAAAGGATGGATTTACAGTATGCTTTTGTGTTGTTGACACCAAATTCAGAGCCTACCATCTGAATGTCGCAGCAGAAATAGAGACTCATCAGACCAGGCAACATTTTTCCAATCTTCTATTGTCTAATTTTGGTGAGCCTGTGTGAATTGTAGCCTCAGTTTCCTGTTCTTAGCTGACATGAGTGGCACCCGGTGTGGTCTTCTGCTGCTGTAGCCCATCTGCCTCAAGGTTGGACGTGTTTTGCTTTTCAGAGATGCTCTTCTGCATACCTTGATTGTAATGAGTGGTTATTTGAGTTACTGTTGCCTTTCTATCAGCTCGAACCAGTCTGGCCATTCTCCTCTGCCGCTCACTGAATATTTTCTCTTTTTCAGACCATTCTCTATTAACTCTAAAGATGGTTGTGAGTGAAAATCCCAGTAGATCAGCACTTTCTGAAATACTAGAGTTGCTGCCATGTGATTGACTAATTAGAAATTTGTGTTAACGAGCAGTTGGACCGGTGTCTAATAAAGTGGCCGGTGAGTGTATATTGTGCTATATACTATACTTAATTTTTCATGATATAAATAAAATAGCACCTAGGGTATTCCTTATTAAAAATGGATAACATAATAAACATGTGACATGTGACACCATTGTATAAATGATAAAGCATTATATGAATACTTATACATACTTGTATATACATATATACATACATATATAATACATACTTTTTATTTTGTCCATACGATATGTAGTATATTGTCAGATTGCACAGCCCTATACACAATATTAAAACAATAATATTTCTTAGAGGGCAGAACATATAATATACTTCCCCTCCACTTTACAATGCATCTACAGTTGAAGTCAGAATTATTAGCCCCCCTGAATTATTAGACCACTTGTTCATTTTTTCACCAATTTCTGTTTAATGGAGAGAAGATTTTCTCAACACATTTCTAAGCATAATAGTTTTAATAACTCATTTCTAATAACTGATTTATTGCATCTTTGCCATGATGACAGTAATTAATATTTTATGTCATGATGTTTTTCAAATCACTTCTGTACAGCTTAAAGTGACATTTAAAGGCTTAACTAGGTTAATTAGGTTAACTAGGCAGGTTAGGGTAATTAGGCAAGTTATTGTATAATGATGGTTTGTTCTGTTGACTATTGAGAAAAAATATAGCTTAAAGGGGCTAATAAATTTGCCCCTAAAATGGAGTCTAAAAAATTAAAATGTGCTTTTATTCTAGCCAAAATAAAACAAATAAGACTTTCTACAGAAGAAAAAAATGTTATACTGTGAAAATTTCCTTGCTCTGTTTCACACCATTTGGAAAATATTTAAAGAAGAATAAAATTAGAAGGGGGCTTCCAATTCTGACTTCAACTGTATGAACACGCTGCCTCAAAAAACCTCTTGTTTTCCTAACCAAATCTAGGTTTTCAACATCATACTCAATATCAGTCATAAATGCAATATTTATTTTAAAACTAGCACACATTCTGTGCAGAAGAAGAGAGTCTGTTTATAGCGGTAGAAATGTTGAAGTTATGAATATCTGTATTTTTCTGTGTTGCTGAAACAGAGCGGTTATAGACCACAGAACAGATATGAAGTTTGGGAGAGCCCTGTGGCAGATGATAACCTACATAAAGTTTTGAACTGTGCAGAGCTAAAAACCCTCTGGCTGGAAGCAAGAGATTCACGTGGAGCTGGTGGAGTTTCACCGAGTCAAATCAATGCTAACTGCAGGACACAGCAGAGAAAAGATAAACTGGCCATGTGATGTTTTTAAGTAACAAAATCACACCATTAAAGGGCTAAGCTAGAGCTGCACATTGAAAAATGAATGCTCTACTCACAAGTGTTCTGGGTGGTGGTTAATTGTGAACTCCAATGTGATTGTTAAAAGGATAGTTCACCCAAAAACTAAAAAAACTGTCATTATTTACTCGCTTTTGACTTTTTTGTGCTGTTGAACACTAAAGAAGATATTCTGAAGAATGTTGAAAACCTGTAACCACTGACGTCAATACTAGGAAAGGCAAATACTATGAATGTCAAAGAGTTTCTAACATCGTACAAAATATCTTCTTTTGCGTTCAACAGAACAACCAAATATAATAATTAATCCTTGCAAATGCATGACATGTGGAAATGAAAATAGATGTTGAATATGAAATGACATTAATAATAAAATAAAACAAAATGAAGCTTCAAAAAGTTTTGTCAGATTAATAACTAAGTGGTTAGAGCACTGACATATATCGCAAAAGCAAGTACTGAGTTAGAATCCTGGCTCATGGACCTTTTCTTGATCTTCTGTCCCTCTTTCTTCCACTTTACTTCCTATTCTGTCAAATAAAGGCAAAATGCCAAAAAAATTATTATTTCACTAGAACATGCTGAATCTGAGCAAAGAAAACCCAGCAACTACCAGAACACTCTAGAAACACCAAGATACAGTAAAGCCCAAAAACATTCATACCCCAGTAGGATGAATTATTTTGGGCTTGACTATCAGGGTGACTGAATGATTTAATACTTTTTTTTTTTAAATCCTCCGTCACTGGACTGGAGAAATGTAAAAAAAAAATGCAAGGAAAATGGACATATTTACCCCAGATTCGACATTGAAAAAGGTTAATAGCATGGAATTCAATACCAATCATTGCTGAAATTTAAAAAAAATGTCTATTTCCCACAAACATTTGATGGCTGTTGAGCGTGTTCTTAAAGAGCGCTGATTTGCCATTGTGTTCATGTCCAAAACAGAAATGAACAAACTCATCACTTTTTACAGAGTGTAACTACAGATACAGAAACACTGAAGTGTTTTAAAGCTGCAAAGATCATGCATCCATAAAACATTCCATAAAACAGTTGTATTATTACCACATCAGCTTCAGTTCCAAAAAATAATGAATGAATGAAGTGCAGTGGCGGGACAGTGGCACACCCACCTGCTGGTAGAAACGGGTACTGCTGAACAGCTGACTATTTAATTACCCGACACAAACGCTGCGTTAAGTGGAATGCGCATGATGTATGTGGTAAATTTAAGTACTTAGATACCAAAATAAATGTTAAACAACCTATTTTTATTTAAGTGCAACATATTCCAAAAGATCAGGGGCTTTTGACAATACATCAGGGCAGGCCCGGATTGGCTAATCGGGAGTACCGGGAGAATTCCCGGTGGGCCGGTCCGTTTTTTTGGCCGCGAGGGCTGGTGTCCCTAGCTCCAGAATCTGTTGCTCTCAGCAGTCACACTTTTCAAATTAATTTTATTTACTTGACCACAATTCATATTCATTATTTTACCGCAGCTCTGCTCTTTTTATATATAACCAGCCTGCAGGATAATGATGATATAACTCAGATGAGTCACCATACTATATACAACCGTTGTGGTCCAGTGGTTATCACGTTCGATTTCGACGCCGCCTACCCAGGTTTGATCCTCGTCTGAGTATTTTTTATATATATATATATTTTTTTTTTTTTATTGTTAAGACATATAATACTGTTTGGGTTGTTGAACATTTGAAGTTCTAAAGCAGCTGTTTTCTCAAAAAAAAAGACGTGAGAGTGTAATTAGAAACTGAATTGGAAATGATCTTATTTTAATATAGTCAGTCGTGAACTGAGGTGGGCTAGTCTGAGGCTTGAAACTCCAGGGCTGAAAAGGAGTCCCACTCCAGCCATGCATCAGAGGATTAAGCCCCTAAAGCCCCCACCACTGTCCTAAAGGTACTAATGTCCACCCGTTTGGTACAAAAGTGTGCCTTTTGAAAAGATACAGTGCCAGTGAGATTTCCTTTATTTCTAAATGTGTTGTACTTTTTAAAAAGGTGATGTCTATGTGTAGAATACATTTTCAATTAAGTGTATTCATGCATTACTTTTTTATATCTAGGAGACAATATTTGTATGTTTAACAAACAGGGTTGACTGAACTGTAGCTCTGCATTTCCAGCTGCTGGCTGACTTCCATGCCTGTTCTGCCATAAGATCGATCCTTCAGTGTTTCCACTGGCATCCCCTGATCTATTACCGCCATGCATTATGTTGCATAACTGTGTTAGCACCGGCACAAAGACAAACACAAACAAGCGGTACCTGGGGATGCCTGCGAGGTACGCAATAAGTCGCCTGAGGTCTTCTTGTCGTATTCTGTCATGGTTACTTCTGGCTGGAAATGTAAGGACTGGTCCTCCACGCCGATCTCTTCCACCTGCAGGCAAAGTCAATAAACTAAGTTTGACTGGAAGAACAACATCTGTGACACTCAAGCATTAGTACTGTAAAATAGGGCAATGTCTAATCTTAAGAAACAAATCGACTAGCCTGCCTACTGCATACAGTGATGCTTCAGAACACCGTGGCCTACTTATCTTGTTTGTATTCCAAACATCAAGACATTATTAAAGTGATAGTTTGGCCAAAAATGAAAATCACCCATTACTTGTTTCAAACGGTGAACACACAAGAAGATATTTTGAAGAATGCTGAAAACTTGTAACCATTGACTTTTATGGTATTTGTTTTTCTTCTTATGCGAGTCAACGGTTACAGGTTATCAGATTTCTTCAAAATATCTTCTATATATTTATTTTATTTTTATTTTTGTTTTATTTTTTTTTTTGCACTTTTGGGAGAGCTATCCCTTTAAATTAAGAAGCATTTTTTTTATTGTCCTGTTTTCGGGTTTTTCCCTTCCGAAATAATCTTGTTTTCTCAAAAGATTGTTTTTCTTGTTTTAAAAAAAAAAAGCTCACCTAATTTTGACATATTATTCCTGAAAACACCACAATTGAATTAACCCTCTACTGCATGGTGTTGCCTTATGGCAACATGTTTTTTATGTTCATTTCCCTGCCACTGTTTCTTTAAGACCAATGTTCATTTTTTTGTTGTTCTTGTTAGAAAGAGAAAACCTTAGTTTAGCCAGTGCTTTGGTAAAGTCACATGACATGCAGTGTTTTTCTGTGGCGAGATTTCTGACATACTGTCGATTATTGTGAGTAACTGCTGAATGCAAATGTAAACATCAATAAAAACAGGATCAAATGATGTCAGCTCGACAAAAAAAATCTGAAACATCACCTCCAGTAAGTTATGATGACATATTCACCACTCAAAAAAGTTATCATCAAATTAGCTTTTTTTTAAATCGACCAAATGTATGTGTTGCCAAATGCCAACACTCCAATAGTGGAACATGCAATATTGCAATAACTTAGCTAGCTAGCAAGGTCAGCTGTGATCTTTTAAATTGTAACAATACCAACATGAATGCTAGTAATATAATGTTGATAAGTCATATGGTAATGGCATTTGAACTATGCATGAAATCCAATTTTAATGGCAATACTACTTTTAATTAGATATAAATACAGAGAACAGTGTATTTGCAAGCACTACTATGTTCTATGGTAAGTAAAAGAAGAAAAGGACAGAACTAGCTCTACTTGCAAATGAAAGTGAGGATGAGATGGGTTTTAGTGGCCATGAGAATGATGTAGATTGGACATTTGATAAGAGCAGTGATGCAGACAGTTCAGGTAAGTTAGCTCAGAGGCAGATAAGACAGGCGTAGTATAGTATATAGTACAATATATAAACATTTATGTAGTATTATGTAGTATTATGTAATATTTAAACATAATGTAGCTAGTAGCTACATTATTCTGATGCATTTGGATATATTAGACTATTTTTTTGTTATAATATTTACTGGAGAAAATATTTCTATTTACTGTATGTTTTATTATAATTCAATATTACGTTTGTTTTTATTAATATTCAGCAAAAAGAATGGAATAAATGAAAGTTGTTGGACAGTGTGTATAAGGGGTCATTTATAAGTTCTGTTTCACCAATTGAATAATTTCAAACAACAAAGTTATTAATTATAAGGAAAGTTCTAAATTAGTCATTTATAAGTTTGATCCACTGTTGGACGTTGTTGCCATATGACAACATATCATAACGTAGCTTAAAAAAATAAATAAATAAAAAATAAAAAAGTTTTCACAGCACTTCACTGTAACCCCTGGCCTTCTTCTTGACATCAGCGGAGACTGACTTACTTAACTTACTTTATCTTGGTCCACATTTGTAGCGTTTTTATACATTTGTGAAGTTGAAGGCTACATCTGTATCTAACAATTTGTCGGCATGACACAGACCAAAATTACTCACATTACTGAGCAAACTCTGAGCATTTCTTACCTACTTTAACTCTCTTTGCCACTGGTCCTTTATCACTGTTGTTTTCACATCTAGAAATTTACATATGAACAGCTTGCTTACTGAGAGGCAGGATCGCGTTAGCTGTAATGAGGCGATATAGGAGAATCCGTACCAGTCCTTACTTTCACACGGATTACATAAAAAGAGATTATTTGTTTTAGACTTGAATTGGTTAATGCAGAAGTAGATATATCAAGCTTTATATAGATATCATAAATCATCGTATTTGTTGACTATTTGCTGAGTTTCCCTGCATTTTAGTGACGTGTTTTTCTGACGACAGTCTGCACGAGTCTTCAGACGCTTGTAATAACAATGCCTCGTGGGCGTGGTCGCATTAAAACTAATGAGATCAGACTGAGAAACTAGACATAGCGTTGGTTTCATACTGATTACTTTATCAAGCAATGTTTGTTTTCAACATGAATAGTTGCGTTTAAAAGCAGACACTTCAAGCTTTCTAGAGATGCATGTCTCTCATCTCTGTGCGTTTTGTTATCGCGGAGTTTCAGCGCATTTTACTGACGCGTTTCTAAAAGCAGTTCACGGAGAGAGAGAAAAGACAGAATGCCTACACTGTGTGTTTTCCTTATTTTGCAAAAGAACACACGTTTGTTGTTGTTGTGAGTGTACACAACAAAAAGTAGACACATAACAGATTCAATTGATGTATTGATCTTATCTGCACGATCAAAACTGAAAGTGGAATTTAAGTTCATTTCAGCAGTTTGACGACACCACAGGTCAAAACGCGAATACACGGTCTTCGACCCCAGAGGGTTAAGCCATTCTAAGAAAAGAAAAACAGTCAAATATATATATATTTTAAATTTACCATAATAGGTGCAGATAAGGGTTAAGCATTTTCAGATATTCGGACTAGAAGTAGGACAAAAACTCTAAGTAAGATTTTCTTTTTCCAACATACGCTGAATCAAATATTTCTGCATCATGTTTTGCCTAATTCAGAATATGACGCCTAATATCATCGCTAACATAGCTTCAAATCATTATTGCATCCCAAATTCCATCAAACTCGCTTCGAAGTGCAGAGGTGGAAGAATGGAATGATTGGAAAAGAGTTATATCTCTACTTAGGCGAGCTGAGCTGATGATAAGCAAGTTGGCCTGCCAAAGATTAAGATGTTCGTAAAGCTATCTGGGTCAGCAGCCAGCTAAACATTCACTGCATTTCCCCAGCGACGCTGATCTGCTTTTGAGCTCACATATCTGAGAGGGGTAATGACTGTCACCGCAAATAAGTTCCTTCTCATTAATATGCATAGAAATCCAGGCATACGGAGAAGCAGTAGTCAGTTCATAAATGGCTTACGCCGTATAAAAATGCTGGGTTGCACACAATCAATTTGTGCCAGTGCAACATGTAGGAATTAAGTTAACTTATTAGTATTTTCAAGTTTAAGTAGATTGAACAATTAAGTTGTCCCTAAATAAATAAATAAAAATCATAATATTCATTGTTTTAGTTCATTTCAAATAAGTAGTTTTAACAAACAGCAAATGTAATAGGAAACAACATTTTTCTTACTTTTCAGTTCATTCTAAGCCAAAAAAGGTTTTTGGCCAAGTCATTACAGCATATACACAACCTGATTAAAGTCTTATCCAAGTTTATAATATCCAACAAATAATATGCTTCAAACATATCTTATCCAGCAAATAATAACTTGACTTCTAGTTGTTCATTTGTTATCAGAAGTGACTTGTATGAAAGGCAAAAGCCTCTAGATTACGCTTATTTTACCAAAATAAAATATGATCACGCCGTAAGTTTTAATTATTTAATTTAAGTAAAAGATTAAGTAAGGTCTGACTTTGCTTAGACAAAAGTCTTGTCCCTTAACAGAAATAACATACAGTATAAAATATAAAGTCATTGTGCAGCGGAAAAAGAACAAATATTGTAAATAACTTGTATTGTATATAAAAAGCATTCTTGAGGGACTCAGAGTTCATCAAGATTCTTTGGATTCATCTTCAATGCCTCCTCGATACCACCCCAGACATGCTCAATATTGTTCATATCTGGTGACTGGGCTGGCCAATCCCTGAGCACCTTCTTTGCTTTCAGGAGCTTTAAAGTATAAGGAACGCTATCCTGCTGAAGAATTTGCCCTCTTCTGTGGTTTGTAATGTAATGGGCTGCACAAATGTCTTGATACCTCGGGCTGTTGATGTTACAACCCGCTCTTCAGATCTCTCGCATGCACCAATACCGAATGTAGCCCCAAATCATGATTTTCCTTCCCCAAACTTGACTGATTTCGGTGAGAATCTCTGGTCCATGCGGGTTCCAATAGGTCTTCTGAGGTATGCGTGACGATTGAGGTGCAGTTCAACAGATGATTCATTAGAAAAATCTAGCTTCTCCTACTTTTCTAAATGATCAAATAGAAGTCAACTTATTTGTTGCGCCTACAACTGGGAGATAAGACTTTTGTCAGGTAGTGTAGTTGCACCCAAAATTTATAATTTAGTTATCATTTAATCTTTAAACACTTTTAAAGATTAAAACCTTTAAAATTTCTCCACTCAAAAAAAAAAAAAAAAAAAAAAAAAAAGCTGCTTAAACTACTTATTTGAAATGGAGATATTGTTGGGACAACTTTACTGTTTTAGGTTTAGTCTACTTAAGTATAAGCTAACTTAATTTGTGTTGGGACATAAAAGAATTGTGGGGAACCCAGCATGTTTTTTTTTTCAGTGTTCTGTTAAACATGTTATAAATGTGTACATGGCCTTGCTCCTTTCTACCTCTATGATCTGTTATCAACACATTAACCAATTAGACCAATTAGGAATGCCAGCAAGAATCTATTAAGTGTTTCAAAGTCGAAATTAAAATACTTCTGCATCAAACGCCGGCGTATGCTACGGCGCTGATGCATAGCCCTTCGCCGTGGCCGTCGGCGTCACTGACGTGCACCTCTCAAAAAAATTTAACTACAAATCGCAACGACGGGTAGCGCAAGCTCTGTGATTGGTCGGCTTGGTATTGCTGATGAGTCTGGGCGGGACCGAGAGCCGTGTGAATGGTGCGAACCTGATGGAGCGATTGTTTACAAGTGTGGAGTCCTGTGAAGGAGCTCCGGATGGAAAGTTTTGTTTTGTTTACCTCATAGTTAAAGTTGTTGCACGTCCGCCGAATCCTGCCTCAAAATGAGAGAGTTTGAGCTACTTGTACATCCAAGAAGTGTTCAGGAAAAGCAAACAGCAGCAAAGAAACTCGACACAGAGGAACATTTACACCTCACTGCCAACTAGTTTCGGAAGTGTTAATGCAGACCAACAGAGACAGCGCGCAGAAGTTGCGACGTGGGTTACGCCGGTCACTTGAAGCAGAAGTATAAACCAGGCTTTAGGCCTAATCTGCATCTAAACTTTGGAATGGGTTACCAATCCACATTAAAGCTGCACCATTACATATTTTAAATTTTTTCACCATGACATATGGCTTGTGATGTCATTTGATCTATATTTATATTGCTTACAAAGCTGTAACCATTGACTTGCATCGCATGCGCATTTTCTACAATGTTAATTTTTCCATATTTTAATCGTATAATATGTTGTATTAGGCCTCTTGTTTTTATTCATTTCCGCACTGACAGCTCGAAAGAAAGATTTACATTGATCTGATGCAGTCTCGGTTCATCTGCTATGTCTCTCTATATATTAAGCCTATCATGCAGAATTCTAGCCAACGTTTCTTTAATAGATTGATTAATTCAATAGATAGATTTTTACAAAACCTGACAATTGAAATGAGGCTCTGTATAAGAAAGTCTGACCTCTCTGATTTGTATTTGGTGACGATGTCTGTGGGTTGTTAAAATTAAAGTGCACATTTTTGCTTATAAAATATTCTATACACAACTGATCAAAAGTTTGGGGTCAGTATGATTGTTAAATATGTTAAACTAAGCTTCTTCTGCTCACCAAGGCTGCAATTATTTCATCATAAATACAAATTATGAAATGTTGCACTATAAAATAACTGTTCAAAAGTAGTTTATCATTTAATTTATTCATTTATTCCAGTGATTTTAAAGATGAAATTTCAGCTTCATTACTCCAGTCACATGATCCTTCAGAAATCACTAATATTAATTATTATTATATTTATTAATGGTAATAGTAACAAAAGCAATAATGTCTGGAGTAATAATTTTATTTAAAACTACATAAAATAAAAAAGTAGTTATTTAAAATGTTGATAAATATTTAACAATTCAACATTTTTTACATTTAATAAATGTAGCCTTGATGAACTGAATGTTTTCTTAAAAACATTAAAAAAAAATTAAATTTAAAATATTTTCTAAAGGATGTTTAACAGAGCAAGGAAATGTTGATAGTATGTCTGATAATATTTTTTCCTCTGAACAAAGTCTTATTTGTTTTATTTTGGCTAGAATAAAAGCAGTTCTTAATTTTTTATGAGCCATTTTAAGGTCAAATTTATTAGCCCCTTAAGCTAATTGTTTTTCAGACTGTCTCCAGAACAAACCATCATTATACAATAACTTGCCTATTCACCCTAGCCTGCCTAGTTAACCTAATTAACCTAGTTAAGACTGCTTCAATCTTTTACTTTCACACCAGTGCTTAGTCATTTTAGCAAACACCTCAGATACTGTTGGCTGGTTCATGTTGGTTGTGCACCTTTTTTAACCGACGCCATAATATCGACACAGATCACTGCCTATTCACAAGAAAAAAGTGATTGACAGGTGGTAACTACATGTATTTGTGTAACTTGCCTTTATTCATTTACTGTATGATTTGTTTATGGGTAAAACAAAAACCATACAGGTCAGGTAGTTTAAACAGTAGACTACAAATAATTAATTTGTTATTAATTATTTCATTATTCATAATCGAAAATCGAATCGAATCGTGACTTAAGAATCGAAAATGTAATCGAATCGAGAATTTGGAGAATCGTGACACTCCTAATATATATATATATATATATATATATATATATATATATTATTGTTGTTGTTCTATTTATATATATAATATCTAAGTATTCTTACATTGAAAGTTCACTCAAAAATGCCTGAAAATCATTCTGTCATCATGTACTCACCCTTTACTTGTTTTGAATGTTTCTGAGTTTCTTTCTTGTGTTGAACACAAAAGAAGATATTTTGAAGAATGCTGAAAATTGACTTTCTAGTATTTGTTTTCTTACTATGCTAGTCAACAACTGCAGGTTTTCAGTCTTCAAATATCTTCTTCAGTGTTCAACATAAGAAAGCTTTAAAGTCAGATGATATGTTCAAATGATCACCCAGACTACATTTAGTTGTTCAAAAATAAAATACAACAATAATATTGTCAAACATTTCCACTGTTTTATCAGATCATCTATAAATTTTTATATTCGAAAATATATCTTAAAATTTATTTCAAATGTGCCTCTTTTTTAAAGAATTTTATTAAATATAACTAATGAAGTTTAAGGAACTAATTTGTTTTAAGGATTCTTTTTTATGCTTTTTTTATGCGGTCCATTTTCTGCTTTCAATTTCTTTTACTTTTTTATTCTTGTTATATTTATTTATCTAATATCTACTAAATATTCTTAAAGTGCTAGTTAACCCAAAAATATCTAAAGAAATATGTGACCATTTACTCACCCTTGACTCATTTCGAATGTTTATGAGTTTCTTTTTATGAAGATATTTTGAAGTATGCCGAAAACCATTGACTTGTAAACACTGACTTTCATAGTATTTGTTGTTCTCAATAAAGTAGTCAATGGTTACAGGTTTTTAGGGTTCATCAGAAAAAAGACTGGTTTAAAGTCAGATGATATGTTTCACTGATCACCAAAAATAAAAGTCAGATGATATTAGTTGGTCAAAACTAAATTAAACAATAATATTGTCAAACTTTTTGCAGAAAATATATTTTAAAATATTTCAAATATTCCTCTTTTTTTAGAAATCATTATTAAATATTACTAATGAAATACAACACAACAGTATTTTTTTTAAAGAAATATATATAAAAAAAAACTATTGTACCGGTCCCCAACTTTTTTATTCTTGTTATATTTATTTATCTAATATCTAAATATTGTTAAAGGCATCTGAAAATGGCAACAAATTCTGTCACTAACTACTCACCCTTTACTTGTTTCAAATGTTTATAAGTTTCTTTCTCATGTTCAGCACAAAAGAAGATATTTTGAAGAATGCTGAAAACCTGTAACTATTGACTTTCATAGTATTTGTTTTTCTTGGTAATCAACGATTACAGTTTTTCAGTCTTCAAATATCTTCTTCAGTCTTCAACAGAAGAAAGGTTTAAAGTCATATAATATGCTTGAATAATCACCCAGACAACATTTAATTAATCAAAAATAAAATAAAACAATAATATTGTCAAACATTTTTGCAGTTTTATCAGACGATCCTTTAAAATTGTATGAAAATATATTTTAAAATGGCTCTTTTCATTATTAAACATCACTAATAAAGTTATTTTCAATAGAAATGTATTTTTAAAATTCATTAATGCTTAAATTTAATTATATAAACTGTTTTTGATTCATCCAAAAATATACTGACCCTCAATTTTGTTACTCTTGTTATATTTAATGTCACTGGCTCACCTGATAAGAACGCCACCTTCTCTTTAAGTATGGGAAGAACTTCAATGGCCTTCATGTCTTCATTTCTGTGGAACCCTGGAAGAATTAAAACCAGGTCAGTCCAAAAACACAGGATGACAAACATATTCATTCACACAACATGTAGGAAAAAACTAAAATTAGAACCCTGGAATCAGAACATGACAATAGCTGAAAATGTGTGCATTCAGTTATCCCATTCAGATCAAAAAACAACAACACTTCCTGTGTTTAAAAGATGTTTGATTATATGGTGTGGCATTAATAACATATTTAGCATATTATGTCATGGCTTTCCCAGAGAAACAGTCCCAATCCACCCGCTCCTCCACAACCATGATCCTCATTCTCTTTCACTCTCTCCCGCCTACTCACCAGATGGCATCCATCCACAGCTTTGCCAATGCATGTGCACATATAACATGCTAATGTGCACTCATTGACACTAATCTCCTTTGATACAGATATTGTCAAAAATGTGTCCATAGAATGATGACTTAGAACTGCACAATATTGGAAAAAAGTGACATTGTGATATTTAGTTTTTCTGCGATATACAGTTAAGGACAAAACTATTAGCCCTCCTGGGAATTTCGTTTTCAAATATTTCTCAAATGATGTTTAGCAGAGCAACAGAGCAATATTTATTGCTTCTGGAGCAAATCTTATTTGTTTTATTTCGGCTAAAATAAAAGCAGTTTTTAATATTTTTAAACCATTTTAGGATCAATATTATTAGGCCCTTATCCCTTGTGTATGGTTCAAATAGCATTTTGCTATGTTCGGGATGAAAACATCCACTAAATATACTGCTTCAAAAATGAAATTCACCCTTTACTTGTTTCAAATGTTTATGAGTTTCTTTCTTGTGTTAAACACAAAAGAAGATATTTTGAAGAATGCTGAAAACCTGTAACCACTGACTTTCATAGTATTTGCTTTTCTTACTATAGTAGTCAGGCGTTACAGGTTTTCAGTCTTCAAATATCTTCTTCAGTGCTCAACAGAAGAAAGGTTTAAAGTCAGATGATATGTTTGAATGATCACCCAGACTACATTTATTCATTCATTCATTTTCTTGTCGGCTTAGTCCCTTTATTAATCCGGGGTCGCCACAGTGGAATGAACCACCAACTTATCCAGCACATTTTTACGCACCAGATGCCCTTCCAGCCACAACCCATCTCTGGGAAACATTCATACATTCAAAAATGTGTCTATACAATGATGTCTTAAAACTGCACAATATTGGAGAAAAAAAAGTGACATTGTGAATTTCTTTTTTAAATATTTCCCAAATTATGTTTAACAGAGCAATATTTATTTATTCTGAAACAAATCTTATTTGTTTTATTTCGGCTAGAATAAAATCAGTTTTTAATTTTTTAAAACTCACTCAGACTCAGCTTTATTATCCCGTTAGGGAAACTAAAATTGCAACAAGGTACCATAACACAGGCGAAGTTCCATGTACACATTAATAAAATATTACCACACAACATCCATACATCAGTATGTAGAAACACCCCCCTCCCCCCTGGATTTAATGACCTAATGGCCATCATTATAAAAAAATTTCTGGTTCTACTTGTTCTGCAAATAGGAACCCTAAAACGACGTCCTGAGGGCAACAGCTGAAATACAGAGTACAATGGGTGATCCGGGGTGCATAGGATACCCTGAGCTCTCATAATTAACATAATTATGGTAGATTACCATTAGATCAGTCTGGTTAAAACCAATGATCTTGCCTGCCACCTTCACCAGGCCAATCAGCCTGTTCTTGCTTGACACACTCAGATTGCCGTACCAAGCTACAATGCAAAAAGATAAAACAGATTCGATAAATTGTTTATAAAACAGCATCAGTCTTTGTTGAACTTTTTTATAGACAGCCTGGGTGTTAGGTTGAAATGTCAACAAATTATCAATAACAACCCATAGATATTTATGCGTGTCAACAATTTCAATGTCCAAGCCTTTAATATTAGTTATATTTGGCGTTGGAGAAGCCTTCCTGTAATCTATCACCATATCTTAAAATTAAAACCATTTTAGGGTCAATATTATTAGCCCCTTATCCCTTGTGTATGGTTCAAATAGCCTTTTGCTATGTTCGGGATGAAAACATCCACTAAATTTACTGCTGCCATTTATTTTACTGCTGTAAAAATGCATCAGATTAATATTGTTTTTAATTTTTTTGCATAAATCTGTTAATCTACCTCAGTCCTGATCAAAACTACTAAAATGACAGGATTTTAACTCTTTAATTGCCAAGTTCACAAATGATGTCACTGATTTGGTAAAAAAAAAAAAAAGCACACAAAATGATGGAGTTTCAATATAAAAAGTCATTTTGAACTGGATGTATTTAAATTTTTTCTCTAATTGACTGTTGGTGGCTGTTTTTGCCCCGCTGACTTCCATCATAACCACATTTGATGGGGCATAAATACAAAGTCTTTGTTTTTATTTACTCCATGTAGTTCTGAGAGCTGAGTAGGCATGGGCCGGTATAAGATTGTGATGATAACCTTGGATAAAAATAACACGGTTTCACAGTAACACTATACTATGATTACTGCTCTAAAATATGCTCTTTTTAAATATCTGGGTACAAGAACACCAACCTTTTCTCCCATTGAGCACACTGTATTCTATTGCCTGCAATGCAAACCAAACTCCTTCTCTGTTCATACAGGGATGAGACAGCCCTTAACAGAGCACCCCTGACCCCATACTCCCAGAGCACCCTCCGCAGAATGCCACGAGAGACACAATAGTACTTTGTTTAGTTTTTTTTTTTTTTGTGAAAAATAAAGTCTTGTTTTTTAAAAAAAGGTCATAATTAAGTGAGTGTTTCCCTCAAACAAGCAAAATAATTTGTAAGTGGGATGAATAAAATAATCTAAAAATAAGGTTATTTTTCCTTACCCTAGTGGGAAAAATCTGCTTACTAACCAACTGACCAACCAACCATCTACTTACCCACATACTCATCCATCCATCCATCCATCCATCCATCTTAAACGTTTGACTTTATTACTAGTTGTTTCCATTTAATCAGACACATAAACCGTGTACAGATATTATTTTTTTAATACTGATCCAGGTGAAAGGCATAAGGGCGCACTGCACATTTTCACACTGCTATTGATTTGATTAGCTTCATGAGGGAGTCAGCAGAAGTCAGGCTTGATTGCCCATCATAACACATTATGTCATTGGGCTAAATTGGCCACTGCTTCCTGGTGTAAGGTTAAGGTTGTCTGCAGGGAGATATAATGGCCGGGGCATGTGCAGTAGTACTATCCTGGGACTAGATGGGGGTGTGTGGTATATGTGTGTTTGTGTGTGTGTGTGTGTGAGTTTTATTCCCACCACATCAATGACCTCATCACAATCCAATATTCGCATAACCTTTACGCTGTTCGAACATGTGTGGGCTTGTGTGTTTCTCCCCCTTCTTCAATGACCTCATCTAAAGCCACCATAATGCTGCTACATTCATTTATATACACACACACATGTTGTGTGCTTTGCTGTTGTGAGTGTAAAGCCTTTTTCTACACCTACTTTCAGAATATAAAGGTACATTTACTTTTGATACCCTAGTATTTTCACTAAACAACAGGAGACATGCAAACCTTATTTTGGGTACTGATTTTATATATTATATATTATATATATTAGTTTACTCGAAAAATCATTCATCCATTTTCCTTTGGCTCAGTCCCTTATTTATCATGGGTTTTGCCACAGCGGAATGAACAGCCAACTATTCCGGCATATGTTTTAAGCAGCAGATGCAGCATCCAGAAGCAGCATCCAGAAGCAACCCAGTACTGGGAAACACTCATACACTCTCGCATTCACACACATACTCATACACTACGGCCCATTTAGTTCACCCAATCCACCAACACCGCATGTCTTTGGACTGTGGGGGGAAACCAGAGCTCACTGGGATATAAAAAAAATATGTATGTATATAATTCTGTGTAAAAGCTGTGATGAGTTAAAAATGGATACAATGAAGGGATAAGCGTGTCTCAAGCGAACTTCAGCCTTTTAGGACTACGTAGGATTAACATCATATCACTCTGTCTGATGTGTCCAAAAATCACCCAACTGTCCTCTGACAGTAGTAGGTGGTGTTTATTTCATTCATACCCGAGTACAAACATTAATAAGCTTTGCCGGTCCATCCTAAATTAACTGGTCTGCCAAGCATGAAATAAACGTCATTAATCTACCCTTGGGTGCAGTAATGTATTATTAATGAAAACAAAAAATTAATTTAAACACCATCACTGCACAGTCCATCACTGGAACAAATATTTGAGCTCTACCGAGTAGACCAAGAGGTGTTTCGTAATGCACAGAACACGTCATTCTGCATTTGTACACAAATAGCAATAAATGTCAACAGGTTTATTCACACAATTTTGTCCAACATGTAAGGAACTCCCCACAATTTTGTTTTACAAATCTGATTTAAACAGTTGAATTTTACCATGTTTGAATGCCTTTATTTCCCAGAGATGGGTTGCGGCTGGAAGGGCATCCGCTGCGTAAAAACTTGCTGGATAAGTTGGCGGTTCATTCCGCTGTGGCGACCCCGGATTAATAAAGGGACTAAGCCGACAAGAAAATTAATGAATGAATGAATGCCTTTAGCCTATCTCCGGGTTTTAGCTTAGCTCATGGGTTCTGGAGGGCCGGTGTCCTGAATAGTTTAGCTGCAACTTCCTTCAGCACACCTGTTTGGAAGTTACATTACCTAGAAAGTGCTTAATTGGCTGGTTCAGGTGTTTCTAATTGGGGTTAGGACTAAAATATGCAGGACACCGACCCTTCAGAACCGAGTTTGGACACTCCAGGCTTAGCTTATGTAACATTGCCGGTCCTACACCACCTGCTCAGAGCTGGGAACGAACCGGCAATTCCCCGCATGGGAGTCAGTTGCTCTAACAAGGAGGCTAAAGACCATGGTCTCTAGCATCTGTCGCTAGAGCACCTTTTCGGGTTTAGAGTAGTGAGGTTTACCTGCA